TACATAGAAATATTGATATTTTATCATACTGCTATCTTAATGTGGCTTAAAAATCTCAAGGAGGCTGTTCTCTTCAGCTGATAATGAGCTGCAAATAAATTATTCAGTTGTGAAATTCAAAGAAATATTGACAGCATTCTGAGGTTTCTTAGTGCCTTAAAGATGTCTGATTTTATAACAGTCATGTCCCATACATAAACAGTTAAGATCTTAGTCAATAGTAATCTACTTTGAATAATTCCTTAAGGAAATATCAAAACGACAATATCTATACATGGAAAATAAAAATCCAAAGTAGTTGAAATTATACAATAAGTGTGATGTATGTAGTTAATTAAGGGTGATTGTAAGCCCAGAATCTAAAAAAGTTTTCATTGAGAGAATATCAAAAGTGGTTGTATTCTTCTGTACTGTATTGAGCTACAGTATTAGTCACTTTCCTTGTGCTGGAACAAAATACCTGACCCCTGCAACTTCAAGAAGGAGAAGTTTATTCTAGGTCATATTTTCAGTCCATAGTTGGCCAGCTACCGGGCAAAATGGCATGGTAGAGAGGCCTGTGGAGAAGAGGTGCCCATGTCATGATGGCCAAGTAGCGGAGGGAGAAGGGAGACAGGCCCTACCAGGTCACACCCCCCAAGACCTGCCTCTAAGCAGGCCCACCCCCAAACAGCAAGTCAGTGATAGTACCTCATAATTCAGCCACCTTTCAAAAGCCCCACCTCTGAGTACACGAAGCTCTTCGGGGACATTCTTGATTTAAACTGTAACAAGACTTTAGACAGCGAATGGTTGTGATGAGTTTGTACCAGCTTTAGAGTGCACCTTCCTCAAAGACCAAACAAAATTCTGGGTTTGGGAGGTGGGGGAGACTTCCTGAATGATGTCACCAGAAAAAGGATCGATAAAGACAAAGCTTAGCAGGTTTCACTGGACATTTCACACCAGCTTTTGAGGAAAAATGTGTATTACTGATTTTTTCGTGATTAACGAAGGAAAACTTTTTAAACAGTAGCTGTTCTTTAGTTTGACAGTGACTCAACACAGATTAGCTGGTACATATTTAGTCCTGTATGGGCCACTTCCTTTCCTTTATGGGAAAGGAGAGGCAGAGGGAGAGAGACAGAGAAGAAAAGAAAAATGGAAGAGAGGGAAGGGAAGGGGAAAAGAAAGGAAAGGAAAGAAAAGAAAGGGAAGGAAGGAAAGAAAGAAAGGAAAGGGGAAGGGAAGGGAAGGAAAGGAGAGGACAGCACAGAGAGAAAAGGAAAAGAAGGAAAAGAAAAGAAGAGAAGAGAAGGAGCTGTTCCTGCAGATGTACAACAGTATGAGGCAAGCAATTTATTCTCTCATTCTTTCCTGCTTTCTTTATAACACCAATCACTGAATCACTGGCCTGATTACACCTCCAATTATTTTCTTCTTTTAAAATCTCTTCTAATCACATCAAATCTTGTTCTTAGAAATTTCAATTGTCCATACTTGTTTCATTGAAAAAAACCACCAGGTCATAGGTTTCGACGTGGTTCTGGGATACATTCAGCTCTCATAAAAGTCTGGATCACATGGAAAACTGCATGACCTAATGTGATGCACTCATACACACAGACACAAACACACCTTGCTAACTAACAGCTTTTGGAAATGAAGTGCTGTGGGACCAGAAAAGAGATTTCCCCATTACTGAGGATATACCAAGAGGCAGGCACTCATCACCAGGTCATAGGTTTCGACGTGGTTCTGGGATACATTCAGCTCTCATAAAAGTCTGGATCACTGCATGACCTAATGTGATGCACGCATACACACAGACACAAACACACCTTGCTAACTAACAGCTTTTGGAAATGAAGTGCTGTGGAACCAGAAAAGAGATTTCCCCATTACTGAGGATATACCAAGAGGCAGGCACTCGACCAAGTATCCAATGTTCATGATCCTGTTTAATTCTCACAAATCCCTGTGATACGCCCCCCTCTTACAATGGCAGATGGGAAATTAGTCCAAGAAAGTCATGCTCTGGCCAAGGTCATGTAATCAAGGCCAAAGAGAGGATGCAGCAAAATTGGAATGCAGTTCTCCAAAGCCCGTGTTTATACCTGCACTGCATTGCCAACCCAAAGACATTGCTTCTTTGGGTGACAGCACTGTTAAAAAGGCAGAGTGATTACTTGCCACTTCTGAGCCCTCTTCCCAATTTTTTTTTTTTTTTTGTCCCTAAGTTGCTTAGGCTGAACTCTAATTTGTGATCCTCCTGCCTCAGCCTGCCAGAATGCTTGGATTACAGGTCTTGTCTTCAGCATGGCTTTTTTCATCCTTTAACATGGATAATGCAGACAAGCCACCAGATCCTGTTAAAGAATAGGACTTGTCTCAAGGTTGGTCTCCATCTTCTTAGCCGTGCTAGCTCCTTCCTTACCCAAGAAGAAGAACTCTGTGAAACCCACCTTTCGTGGGGCGATAAAACCACAAGATGAGAACATTGTGTTGCCCTTAGCATTTACTATTGATTTTACTGGGAGGTGAACTAAAATTTGTTAAATGCAAAATATTTTTGAAAAACAGAATGATATATGCTTAATCACTGAGGTCACAAAATAACACACAATTGACTTTTTAGATAAATATGCAAAGAAAGCAAGGCCCAGGGAAGTCAGTAACTTGCTCCAGTTAAAGCTGTGCTCGTCACAACTAGTAAGTAACAGAATCTTGCCAGATATCCCTGCTAAGTTCCTAATTTTAATAACCATACTATTTTATTGTCCTGCCTTGTGCTTTTATAGAAATGGTCTTCACTGATGCAATAAAAACTTCCAGGTTAGTTCTCTCCATTTCTTCGGAATTACTAATAAATTGGCAAAATCCTAACATTCTGTGATTTTTTTGGTGAAACAGTACATAGGGTGTGATTGGTTTTTGTTTTGGTTTGTTTTTTTTTTCTACTTTGACTTACAGGTATTTATTTGTCTTTGGTTGTTCTCAGACTAGAGCTAACTTGAAGAATCTTTTGATTTGCCTAAATTCATCATTCTAGAATTTCTCTAAGGCTACTGTCTACTTTCAGAGTACCAGATATCCCAGAGATTGAACTTTGGTATGAAAGACCTTACCCTTTTTCACCAACTAAAAATATTGAGCAAGTTCTTATGTATTGCTGAGATGAAGTAATATAGTCATATTTCAAGAGATGGATCTGACAGTATGAATGAAGATCAAAGATCCACATGATAAGAAAAGACAGGATTAGCTTCAGTGACCTGCAAAAAGTAAAAAGCAGTCTCTGGCAGATCCTCTCAAAGTGAGGCCATGTGGATAACTATTTCGTGATGGCCTGAAAATAACCACCAGGTGATAGGACTCCAGGTTCAGGGCCTCTCTCTGTTGTTCCAAAAGCATGCTCCACCCTTCACCGAGATTCTGCTCCTCTCTTGGAGCCAGGTGTCCCAACAGACCAAAGTCAGAGTCCACAGAATCCTAAATAAATTTCTAGTAGGTGGTACCTGTCATGTAGACTCCAGAAGAGCCTTCTACACATTCAATTATTAAATGGAAACTGCACAAAGTTTTCATAAACCTAACAAAATGTCCAAGATATGTTTGTTGTATAGTTAACGTGAACCTGGTACCAAAAGGAAAAACAAATTGTGGTCAAAGCAAGTATTTCATATTTCTTTGAGATTAGAAGAACTATTTGCAGAATGGTTCTAGATGAGCAGGAAGGTCCTCTGTTGAGAACCTGCCAAGGACACTTTGTGTCCCTTATCCACTCCAGGTGTCAAAAGAACACTCAGTATTAATCTAACTTCTAAGTCATTTTCAGAACTTCAGTAATACCCAGAGAAAGGGCCGGCATGATAGTGCAAAGAAACAGTAGTTCAGAGACACGAACATGCTGGCTTTCTCAGCCCGCATGTGACTCTGACTCCCTTCCCCTGTCTTCCTCTCTGAGTTTCCAGGACAGCTTCAGAACATGGTCTTGCCTGTTGCAGATGAAACATGACTTCTCTGGTGACCCGATTTAACGTTGTATTTTTCACAAAACAAAACAAATGCTGGGACCAGCTCTCCAGTGAAGGGAAGAAGCCTGCTCCTAAGAATCAAGGAAGAATTATAAAAGTTTAATTTGAAGTTCAGAGGAGAGAGCCCATTCTTCTTACTACCTATTTTATGTCTGAAACCACATACTGAATTTCCCTTCTCTTAACCTTTCTAAATGTAAACGTTTATATACTACAGCAAAATTCTATCTTATCAAAACAGGCCAGAACCAAAACCATTTCTATTAAAATTGTGTTTTCTGAGAAAATGGAAAAATACCAATTTAACCTAAGAATCTCTGCACAGAAGAAAAAGCAGAGAATCTGTTATCTTTTCACATTCCAAATAAATTAGAATATTTTTTAAAAATCAGTTAAATTTTATAAAAAGCACATGAACTCACACAATTCTCATAATAAACATAAACTTCCATTTATATTAGAATGAGATTACATAAAATTTTCATTTCACCCATTACAAGTGAGCTTGATTTCTTGTAGTTATGTTTGCACTGTGAAGCATCTTGTTGATCTGAGTCAGTTAACCAAGTTTCTAGTGATATTGCTGGTGATTTGTAACAGCTGGTAATCTTGCATTGAAAACAGTAATTTATCAGCCCTAACCAGACACTGTCTCCACCCTGAATACATATGGGCTATCTTAGAGAGGGAAAGAGGCTCAAGGCAGGATGTGGATGACCGCCTAACACTCCTTTGCCCCTGGATGGTTAGCGGAGTGGACTAACTATTGAAAATATTTCTCAAGTTAAGAAAGGCAGGTGTTCTACTAACCTGGCCGAACCACATGGAATAAAGCAGGTGGCTCTCCTGTAGGTAGACAGCTTCTGGGATGATTTCAGCGTCACACTGAAAGCCGGGTTCTGAGAAGTATAATAATCAATGCAGCCCACCCAGAACCGTGTAGTGGTGCTGATCTTTCTGTCCCAACTTCTATTTGTGTTTCAGCTGTTTGAGAACATCAAAGAAATCTGTCCAAATGTGCATGAGAAGATCAGACCCATTAGTGCAGATCTCAACCAGCATGACTTTGGCATCAGCAAGGAAGACATGGAGGAACTTCTCTCCTCCACCAACATTATCTTCCACTGTGCAGCCACTGTACGATTTGATGACCCTCTGAGGTATGTTCCAGGGTCCCTCTCATGGCGCGCGTGTGTGTGCAAGTCTGACATTCCTTATGGTTTCCGTACACAAAATATATCCACGTGCAACAACTCCAAGTATCACGAAACTATGTAGCCACAGCCCATTCTCTTCTTGGTTCTTTGAGTCAGGGGCCCAAGACCCAACAGTCGGGGGCTCCTGGCATGGCCCCTCACCGTGTCTCCCTGCCCACTCTGCAGACATGCTGTGCAGCTCAACGTCACCGCCACCCAGCAGCTCCTGTTGATGGCCAGCCAGATGCCCAAGCTGGAAGCCTTCATACACCTCTCCACAGCCTTTTCTAATTGCAACCTGAAGCACATAGATGAAGTGATCTATCCATGTTCTGTAGAGCCAAAGAAAATCATTGACTCCATGGAGTAAGTAGGGCCAGGGGTGGGCCAGCTGCTGTTCTGTTGGATTCTTTGACATAGTTTCTTACTTCTTAATGAACTTGGCATTACCCCTAAATGAAGGAAATGCAGCATGGAGCGTCAAGACTCGGGAGAACAGTGTTGGACCGTGGACTCACCCTGTGGCTCCACAGCATACTGGTGGTGTGAGTTGGAGTGAGAACCTTGGCCTCTCTGAGCCCCCATTGCATCATTGGGAAAATGGGCCAGTTGTATAGTGGTGATGATAAATTAATGTTTACAAGCAGCCAGCCAAATGGTCAGTGAAAAGCTTTCAGGGATGATAATTCTTGCAAGATCTGGCAGAAGGCAATGGTCCAAATACATACTCAGCTAAAATATACTCTCCTTACTGTCCGATGGTGAGGTCTCTTGAATTTCCTCTTCCTACCAACTAAAAGAAACCACTTTCTCCTTGGGACACAGCTCTAGTCTCAAATATATTTCTGTTTTCTGCTTTTTTGTTTTTCTGCTCCATTTTATGAACATTACCTTGTATTTTGTTAAACTACATGACAATATGATAGCAGGCAAAAAACGACTACTTCATTCAGTAAATTTGTCCCATTGTGAGTCATACTACACTGTGTTAAAACATCCTCTTTACAAGGCTTTAGCCAAACGAAGACTTCATTCCCTTTGGGGCAACATTTTTATCTCCCCCGCTGAGAATAGATATTTCTACCTGGCATTTAGAAATATCTAGGACAGAGGAAAATGGAAGCCACGTAAAGGATGTGAAGTGCCTTGGGGTTGCAGATAGCTGAGGCTTTGCTTTCTTGGCGCACTGGAACATTTCAGAGCCTTAACTTGTCCAGAGAGGAGGCAGGAAGGCAGGGGTGCTGCAGTGCCCGGGGTGTGCGAAAAGCCCAGAGCATTTTCAGGACAGATGGAATAGATCTGTCCGCTAGCAGTGCCCTACCTGTGCTGTCCCTTGTGAGTGAGTGTCACTGTCTACAGTCCCGGAGAGGAGGGCCTCTGACTGCAAACGTGAGTACCCACCCCTGCTGCACTGCGGCCCCCTAGCGCCGGACAGGTCACAGTGCAGTCAGAGGCAGGAAAGGAGTCTGAGGGCTCACCCAGAAAGGGCAAGGAGGAGAACACAGCCTGGGCCTCTGCTGGTCCTTCACTCCAGGCCCTGGCTCCCTAGGCTTCACAGAATAAACTCCGTTCATTATCTTCAGGTGTTCAGCACTTCCTGTACGCTTCAAGTACAAGTGAAGGGGGAGGTACCCAAGTTAAGAACCACTGTAACTGACATTTGTATTTCAGATTTTCAGGTTAAGGGTGCTCAACTTGTACTAATTCATTTCAATCCACACTTATTTGCTTTGTCTTAAGAAAATATTTTGTCTACCCCGGAGTGGTGCTGTATACCCATGATCCCCACCACACTCTGGGAGGCTGAGGCAGAAGGATCTCGAGTTTGAGCCAAGCCTGAGCAATTCAGCAATTGAGTGAGACCTGACTCAAAATAAATAAATAAATATATATGTGTGTGTGTGTGTGTGTGTGTGTATATATATATATATATATGGGTTGAGGATGTAGCTCATTTGCTCAATGTGAAGACTCTGGATTTAACCCCCAGTACCACCAAAAGAGAGAAAGAGAGACAGAGAGAAAAATAAAATGTTTTTTTTTTCCTCTAATTTCTTCTCCATTTAATTATTGACTTGTATTTAAAATAAAAGCTATTTTCTGGGGCTTTACATTTTCTGTCCCTGTGGAGTTTGTATCAGGAGTAACTGAGGTGGGTGGCACCTGTCATTGCTCCTCTCCTCCGGTGGCTCCATTCTCTGAAAGAAGTCAAGAGTTAACAGCGATGCGTCTTGAATCTACATTCTGGGCTTTATGCTCTCATGAAAATCACCCATAGAAATGTCAAACGGCCCTTTCTTTTCCCAGAAAGTGAGTTGGACAGGATTCCAGTGCCGGGAAATAAAAGAAGACTTACACTTTTTTCGTCAGGAGTTTTCCCAGTTGCTTGGGCTAGAGTGGCACTAAGGAAGGAAAAGAGCAGCTCTGTGTGCCTGAGCCCCTCCCCTGCCACCCCTGCCCCACCCTTCACAGCCCCTGCTCTGCAGTCCAGCAGCCTTGCGCTCCTAGGCCTCCACTCCCTGCCTTTGGCTCCAGCCTGGAAACTTCCAGAATCACACTGGTCCAGAACCATTCCAGAAAGATGATGTTGGATTGTGTTCATACAAAAGCAGTGCTATAAACACACATTAGTGACAGCTAAAACAGGAGTTCGGAATCCTTTTACCCAGCACGGTGGTATGATGATTCCCATACAGAGCAGCTCCTGTTTCCAGCTCTGGTCCTTGCGTCTCTGCCTTCCTCCCTGCAGGCCTTCTCTCCTCAGCCGGGGGTTGCCCTTATTACTGTCTCCTCCCCTCTGTGACTCCTCTCTACATGTTTAGTGCTGTTTTCCTTTAGAAATTTCAGTGTGTAAAGAGATCAGGAGTGGCCTGTGATATCTCAGTTTTGCAGGATAACAGCTAAAGTAGAATGTTTCTTTTAAATTGTATATAACAGGCCAGGAAAGGTAAGGTTTTGTGGTTTCTGTATTTTTTAGGCCAAGGTAAATGTTAGGGTAACTAGCTTAGAAGAAAAGGACATTTGCGCCTGTATAAAAACCTGCTGTCACTCAAACTAGGAACTACATTATGATGTATCCAAGTATTTAGTGCCTTAACATTCTTAAATAAGTCTAGTTAGTATGCACAGAGAACAGAGAGAGGGAGATGAACCAATCCTGCGCAGTTATGTGAACAAGAAACTTTTGCAGACATTTCATTCTTCCATATAATTCTGTCAGGTTGAGGTGAGTATTGTGGCTTTACTAATAAAAGAGCAAGATGCTCAGGTGAGCTAAGCAGCTTTTCAGACGTCCCCTAGCATAAGTCACAGGCACTGTCTTTATCCATAGACACTGATTCTGAAGGCTGGGGTCTTTCCACCATGCTACATTCCAGGCAGTGCCAGAGAATAAAAGGTGCTTTCTTAAAATACAGACTCTTGAGGAGCTTAAAACCAACCCACAAGAGCGGGGTAGCGTTGCACACGGTGCTGCAGGTGAGCCTGTGGGAGCAGGGCAGGAGGGGTGGCCGCAGAATGTCTGAGCTGGGCCTGGAACAGGGGCTGAGGTGGGCCAGCTGAGATGGGGCCCATGCCAGGCAGGGCACCTGGAGCAAGAAAGCAGGGCATGGCAGGGAAATAGCTGACGTCTGGAGGTGGAGGAGGCGGATTGTGAGGGAAGGCAGGCTGGGTCCACCTCGGGGAGTCTTGGGGCCTGGCGTTGAATCCCACAGGCAGTGGGGAGGAGCTGAAGAAGGGGCCGTGTGTGTGTGCATGCGCACACCCTAGTGGGTTTTGTTGGTTGCTTCCTGCTTGTTTCCATCAAGAAGACAGTGGGCTTTGGGAATTGTAACACAGCCAGCGATAATACTAACGTTGGAGAGAAGTAGGGCAGCAACCCGGTTAGAGTCGGTGGCAGCTGTAGCCAGTAAAGCCATCACCAGGGGTACAGCAGTGTGGCAACTAGAACTGGGGTACTGCAGCAGATGCAAAGGAATGAAAAGCACTTCTTTGTTATCATGGTGGAGACCGAGCTTGACACGGCTACTGCTCTATATACAGGGTCGTTACACACAACGAGTCAGATACCAGGTTACAGCAGACACAGGCATCTTATCTTACATTTCTGTGCTTCTAGTAGCAAGGATTTCATTTCTTCACTCAATTCTATTGAAACTTTTACTCCAAGAAGCAGTGCATTTTTGAGAACTAATCCCAGTGTGCTTAAACTTCCTCGAGTTTGTAGAGTGAACTTCTTTCAAATTAATGTTTCACTAGTTTGCCTGACCCTAAGAATCACCAGAGCTTATTAAAACTATGCATTATCAGACTCACCTTGAAAGCTGATTTAGCAGTCCCATGATGGAACACACAAACCTGGGCTTTTACCAGGAGACCTGTGCAATTCTTCTTTGTGGAATTCATTTCCTCTAGTTATTCTGCTCAGCTCCTGTGCAAACAGTGATTAATGGTGGAATGTCAGTGCGATACATCGCAAAGCAGAACTAGTACAAACTAGAAGATGCATGTGCATGTTTGTACAGTAGACATGCACACTGCTTTCTGAGACTGACTCCAACTTCATGTTTTTGCAGCAATTTAAGTAGAAGTTCAGAATTGGAGACCCATGGGTATAAAACAGCTCCCTGAAAACCCTGATGAGCCCTTGGCTAATTACAGAGAAGTGCTCTGGTTTATATGTAGTGTTCTGCAATGGTCATGTATTTACTGCTTTAAAGACAGATGGAGAACAAGCAATAGCAGCAACATGGAACAGAGGATAAGTCTTGAAGAGGGCCTCGCTCAGCTACAATTTATGAATATCTGTCACCTTGATCTCCTCTGAATCTAGGAAGCAGCCAGATGGGAGGAGATGGTGGATGGTCTTTTGAGCAGTGTTAGAATACATAATCTAAGACCATATTCAAAAAGAAGAATTCCACTGGGTTGGGGAGTGCAGCCCCCAGGTAGAGTGCTTGCCTAGCATGCACAGGTCTAGGGTCAGTCACTAGTACCACAAACAAACTTTAGTCCCACTGACTCTCACAGTGTTTTATTAGGAGCTGCGTGTGCAGTCATCCTGTTCCTGTTTGCCCTCGTGACACCCTGAGGCTTTAGAACAGATAAAAGTATTTCCATATTACACAAGCGGAAATGGAGGGAGTCCAAAGATACTACAGTGAAAACCAGGCGGTGCTGAGAGGTGTAGCAGTAAACCATGTGCAGAATACCTCAGCTCCTTGGCACTTGCTTCCTCGGACGCCTACAGGTCTAGTGTTTTCTGTGACGCACCAACTCTCCACACTGTGCAGAACCCCACTGTCCTCCTTCCCAGGGATGTGAGCACCAGTCACGGAGCCAGTGCAATCTAAGTGACATAGGTTCCCCGCTATTGCTGCCTTCTGATGTTTTCGTAGAATTTTTTCATCACAGCATTGTAGCAATTGAGCTTTTTCTAAACTTGGCTTTTGCGATCCGTGTTATGTGCTGAACATGGGCAGACTTTCTTCTTGGCATTATTCCCTAAAAATACAGAATAGCAACTATTTATGTAACACTTGCATTTCACTAAGTGTTAGAAGTCACTTAGAGATTATTTAAATCACATAGGAGGAAGTGAATAGCTTATATCCACGGAAGACTGGAACATCCACAGACTTTGGTGTCTATGGGATCCTGGAATCCTGGACACTGACAGATGGACCCGCACTGTCTCATGCTCTCTCCCCACACCCAGGTGGGCCCGTAATTGAAGTATTCTCTATTTCCATATGTATTTGGAGTTGTTTTTAATTCTAGAAAATTCTTAATCTTTCTCTATTCCCCATAAGAGGCATTTGAATATTCAGAACATACTTGGCACTATCAGAAGCAGAGCAAGAAAACCTAAAAGATGATAGCCAGTCTTCATGTTCCACCTCAATATCTGAGGAGTTATTAAGATTCTGAATAATTGTTATCATCACACGCATCGCAAGTGCTAAGCCATCTGTCACGGCAGCAAAGCTGTAATGGCTAAGATTTTCCACAATCAAAACAATGTGGTTATGTCCTGTCCCATAAAGTAGGAATAAATGCATGAAATGCATTACCTATAAAAATTGCACAAATGCATTTAGGTTGTCCAATTTTTTTAAAAAAACTGTATTATAGCCATCGTTTAATTGAATAGATCTTCTGGCTAAAATGAACATAATGTATTTAGGTGAAAAGAACTTGTTGCTCTTTTAAAGAAGTGTAGTTAGACTTGGGATGGTCAGATGGCCGTGACGCGTTTTGGTGCTGTGGTGACCCCGTCGTGCGCTTGACTCCTCCGTCTATGGGCGGCTCGGCGGTCCGCCGCTGACACTGCTTCAGAGCGCTGTAGCTGCTGCGTAGACTGCGGTGTTCATTAGAAATCTCCAGAAACAGCTGCCGGTTACTCTCCGAGGCTCTAAGCAAACCTTCGAAATACCATCTCATAGACTTGCTGAAGCAGATTACAGCTCAGCCACTGTTGCTCTGTTTATTGAGGCACTGGGTAAAATTTTACAAACTGAAGGCTCTGGCCTTCGGGACTGGTGCACAGGGTTTTCACCCCAAGGCGGGGCGGGGGGGGGCTGCCAACGTGGACGAGGGACTTCTGAGCCACAGACCCAGCACGTGGTGTGCGCTTGGGTGCCAGAGTAGTGAGTGCTCTTATGAACCTGTCAGAGAAGTGAGGGTAATTAGAGGTAAGATGTTATAAGCAGTAGATGGTACATCTGTTAAACCCGTCTCTATCATCTATCAATCTATCACCTGTCACATATCTATCTATAGATCGTCTATCCCTGGTCTTTATCGTTTATCTTCTATCATCTATCATGTGTCTCTGTCAGTCTTCTATCAACCTATCATCTATCGTGTATTACTCTCTGTCTTCTATTATCTATCACCTATTTATGTATCATCTGTCTTCTATCGCTTGTCATCTATCATCTATCTTTTATTACCTATCATCTATTATCTGTCTATACCTATCACCTACCCACGATTCGTCTATCACGTGACTATCTGTCTATCTATCTATCATCTAATTTGTTGGGAGGAAGTAGGGTTTGACTAGATTGGCTTTGCAGAAGACAGCAAACAGCTCATGCACCATACCTGACTTGAACAGGTTCACACTCACCTTTGGCAACCTGTTACTACCCTGGAACGTGGAAGCTAGGTGTGATTATCTGTGTCTCACAGTTTCTCTGTGTTCTGTTAAGTAGCACATCTTGCTAGAACGTGTTTTCTCTGCCTTCAGGTGGTTGGACGATGCCATCATTGATGAGATCACTCCCAAGCTGATCGGGGACCGGCCCAACACCTACACCTACACCAAGGCCTTGGGAGAGATTGTGGTGCAGCAGGAGAGTGAGAACATGAACGTCGCCATCATCAGACCCTCCATTGTGGGGCCCACCTGGCAGGAGCCCTTCCCAGTAAGCCACTCTCCTGTGTCCCTGCTGTGCTTCTAAACCAGGCCTTTGTGGCTCCGTTTCTTTTTGAGGCCTCCCATTCCCGATCCACCTCTCTGTGCCCTTGGGATTTATGGCTGAGCGTAGCAAATCAAATAAGAATCTATTATATGATGGTGGCAAAATTCAGTGTTTGCCTCGGACTCTGTGCCACATGAGCCTCCTTTGGGGGTTATGCTCAGGGTCTTAGAGATGGGCGGAGATCTTAAATAGTGCCAACTAACTACTCCCAAAATCCCACGGGGGGTCATTTCATTGCTTGACTTTCTAACCATCCTTTATACCATAATGTTTGTCACTGTCAAATTGGTACAATTGCAGCTGCCAGGATAAACAAGAATTGCAAAGCTTGCAGTGTCTTTGGTCAGGATAATAATATTTTTTTAATCTATGTGTACTGCTGTCACCTTTTGAAAGGAACATCTCTTCTAAGACCCCTCTATGCAGCTCCAGGGCCAGAGAAGATGGCAGCCAGCCACACATCCCAGCAGTGCAGAGCGGTGTCATCTGCAATCTGGGCCAGCACTGTCCAACTTCAGGGAGCTGATTAGCTCCTGATTCAGGGCTTGAGTCATGTTTGAAGTGCCATCCTTAGTCCCAGGGTCACCAAACACTCCACACTTTGTCTTCTCTCTCTTTTCTCCTCTTCCATTGCACGTACACATTTTGACTTCTACAGATCAATAATGGACTAAGCTTGGGGAATGGGAAACAAACCCAAAAAGACATTTGCCCCAACTAGGCCTAAATATCATCTTTCCTCTGATATCTACAAGCAGGCTGACACTGCCCTGACCAAAAACACACTCTACAGACTCATTTGTGTTAAAGTTGTTGAGAAATGAGTACTTCCTATACATCATGTCTGAAATGTTTTGAGAGAGCTTAAAACCAGATCTCGGATGATGAAAAATTAATATTTGATGAATCAACTAGCAAATCATAACATTAAGGCAAATTCTAACTTAGCCTATAACATCATATAAACCAACAGGGACTGGTATAAAAATCGATCTGAACAAAGTTTGTATTTTGCACAGCCAGGCAAAGTACATAGAATAACAAGTGCTTTGCCACTGATCTTGGTTTGGCATCTTAGAAATACTGCATTGGTACTGTGTTCGATTAGCTAGGCTCTCCCTGTTCTGGTTTGAAATTTATTAAGATTAAGCTACAGATATTCCAAAGACAGTGATTCTCTGAAACACATAACCAACGGAGACCTCCTTTTTTTCAGGGTTGGGTTGATAACCTAAATGGACCCAGCGGGATCATTATTGCGGTACGTATAACGATGGGGAAGTAATCCCTTGAAATGTAGCCGAGGAATGGTAACTGAATTCTTAATGTTAGCTTCATTGATCTGAACACACACACACGTTACTGTTCTGAAAAAAAATGAAATAGCTTATCTCAACATTACTGATTGAAGAAACACACAGCATGAAATTGCCTTCATTCTGTGAGGATTCTATCAGGAGAATAGAGGTAATGTGCTATCGATTACTTTCAGGAATTTTGTCTTGGAAAAATGAACATCAAGAATTTCCCTCTAGTTACCACAAGATGGGGGTATTTTCTCTTTTCCACTTTTCTTAATAGCTTGGATTAGTGCCTCAAACTTGGGAGGCAGTAAAAGAATCCTATCCTGATTAACCATATGTAAGAGGTATGTAGATGAAGGAGACGTGTAGCATTACCAGTCTTGACAGATCCGGGACAGAACACTGCATGTCAGGGCACCCCTTTCAGAGGTGGAAGTCAGTGTCAGCAGGAAGCAGTTTGCAGCCCGTCGTGCGTCTGCCAGATGACAGAGCCGCACTTCAGCCCACAGTGAGGTAGCTGAGGACCAGAACTATGACTGTACCTTTTGGACACTGAATAGAAACTGAGTTATCTAAGTAAGTTTAAAGTGCACATATTTCACCATCTTTGTTCCTCGCGCACTATGCCTTAAGATACAAACATGAAACAGCCGGTGGTGGCTTCCCAAAGACAGCGACAGTGAACTCCCTTCTGCCCCTGATATTTCCAGGCGCCTCTTTCTGTTCCCTACCTGCCTTCGACTCCCTCCCCCTACCACTTGGGTGGCGAAAAGAAACGTTGGATGACTTAGAGCGTCATTATTTTAACGTGGGCCCAGAATGGATTTTCTTATATTGCAAAGCTGCACATTTATTCAAATTTTCTAAAATTTTCCAAAAACTGGTTTCTTATGTTCACGAAAAGGGAAATCAGCTACAGGAAAAATAAATTAGAAACATAAGAAAGTGCTAATAACGTCAAATGAATGCTGGAAAAATGCAAAACGTAAAGAATCAACATGCTGCAAAAGTCTATAAATTATTAATATGAATAATTCCCAATTATTGCATCTTATATAAAGATCAGTGATCTTTGAAGTGAACTAAGATACTGAACAAAAAGTAAATAATTGTTTTTTTCAAAAGCAATTTTTGTTCTATTAAATGGTGCAATTGTATTTATTACTCTTTTCCAGACAAATGTGGCTTAACCTTTTAGTACTTGTAAGTTAACAAGCACTAGGAGAAAACAGTCACTTATGAAGTGGTTAAAAAAAAAAGCATCATGACAATTTTAGGAAACCTGAATTCTTAAAATATGTTATGTGACAATCTTTGGCCTGGAATTTAGCTCGGTGGTTCCACCACCTACCTTGCAAGTGCAAGCTCCTGAGTTTGATCCCAAGTACCAAAAGAAAAAGATGTGACAGTCTGGTGCTTCTTTTTTTTAATTAGTCCATGATTACAGTGAATAGTATCCAGATTCCTTGTGCAGAGTTAGTGCTTGTGTGTAACACATCTTCACTCCTTTTTACACCTCCTCTCCTTCTCCTGCCTTTCCCCTCCTTCTTCTCTTGCTCCCCTTTCCATTTGAGAGAAGATCTATCACCCTATTACTATTATCTACCTTTTATTTCACCCTTTATTTTATAATTAGGGTTCATTATATAAGAAAAACATGCAGTACTTAAGTTCATATGTCTAGTTTATTTCACTTAACATTATGGTCCCAAGATGTATCCATTTTCCTACAAATGATTCAAGTTTATCTTCCTTTTTTTTGGTACTGGGGATCGAACTTGGGTCCTTGTGCTTGTGAGGCAGGTGGTGGAACCACTGAGCTACATCCCTGGACTTAAGTTTATCTCTCTTTATGTTAGGGTAGTATCTATTATGTGTAAAAACCACATTCCTTTATCCATTCATCCATAAATGGATATATGGGCTGCTTCCCAAATTTGGCCATTATGAATTGTGCTGCATATACACTGTATGCATGTATCCTGGAATAGGAAGCCTTTAACTCTTTCAGGAAGATGATGCCTAAAAGGGAAATAGCTGGACTGAATGGAAATTGCAGTGTTAGTGTTTTGAGGAATCTCCACATTGATTTCCATAGTGGTTATACCAGTTTACGTTCCCACCAGCAGTATAGGAGGGTTCATTTTTCCCCACATCCTTGCCAGCATTTGTTATTTTTTGGTTTCTTGATTTTAGCCATTCTTTCTAGGTATGATGGCATCTCAGAGTTGTTTTGATTTGCATTTTTCTAATGGCCAGCAGTGGTGAGCATTTCTTCATGTATTTATTGGCCATTTGTACTTCTTCTTGTGAGAAGTATCTGATCATTTCACATACCCATTTTTTGATTGAGTCTTTTAGACATTGGAGAGGTCTAATATTTTTTAGTTACTTGTATATTCTAGATATAGGTTCTCTGAGGAGTAGCTGGCAAATGTGTCTTCCCATTCTGTGGGTTTTCTTTTCACTCGCTTGGTTGGTTCTTTTGCTATGCAGCAGTCTTTAAATTAAGTATATTAACTCTACAAATCTGAGCAGTTTTATTCCCTAAAGGAATCTGATGACCACTAGTGGTTCCTTAAATGGTGGCTGGGAGTGTTGGATAGGCTGGGAGGTCAAACATAAAATAACCTAGCAAGCAGCAGCAGATCGATGTTAGCTGTTTTTACTGACGGCTCTTCCTTTACCTGTGCAGGCTGGGAAAGGGTTTCTTCGGTCCATAAGAGCTACTCCAACGGCTGTTGCAGATTTGATCCCCGCTGATACAGTTGTCAATCTCACTTTAGCAGCAGGCTGGTATACCGCAGTACACAGGTATGGAGAGTGGTCTTCCAAAAATGTGATGAGGAAAGGGGCAAATATGTTAGGTGCCCTCTCAAAATTGTAGAAGACCCCTAGTAAGATAAAATGTCTCTTTCCGTGTTTGTATAGTCCCCAGTATACCACCATATATGCCTTGAGCTGTTGCATAAATACTGTTTAGTATTTGGTTGATCATAAAAGTGTATTCTGAAAATCCTGTAACGATAAAATTCTTGATACCCAAAATACTTTTCTTTCTATTCAGTAATCTGTGCTACAGCTTCATTTTCTTAAGGCAAGGAAATGATAAAAGTTGACGAAATATTGGCATGTTATATATCTCATTGAACAGTTCAGTTCCTGGTAAATGCCAAAAGCTTGGGTCACTGTGTGTGGGAAAATTTCCTGATATGAAGGAAAAAATAAGTTGCTTATTTATTTGGCTCCATTAATAAGTGATAAGCAAAATTAAATTTTTCTCATACTAGCTCAGACATATACTCCCCAATCTCTCATACTTATTGGATGTCTTTTATACGCCCACAGTTTACCTAAACTTCCATTTTGCATATCAACCCAAAGAAGGAATAAAAGATGAGACTTTTTAACAGACTCCTTTAGTCATGGGAGTTTTTGAAACTATTGTCTTGTTATTTCCCCTCATTTCTCTTTCATTACTTTTCCATTTTGTTGTATTTTTCTAATTTTTATTTCATCTTCTAGACCTAAATCGACATTAATATACCACTGCACATCTGGTAACCTCAATCCCTGTAATTGGCTCAAAATGGGTAAGTGTCTCTGGTCACGTGACTACAGAGCCTCCGGTGTTTGTTGCAGGGATTCACAGTGTGGGTCCTGGAGCTGACACCCCAGTTGGGAAGAAAGTTGAAAACAATAAGTAAAGGAACAAAGTGGCTGCAAATGATAAAGAAAATGTATTGTGATGTGCCAAAGAGAGCAGACAGTGGGAACATATGCATGATTCTAAAGAATAAGGTGCCTATTGGCTACAGACATTGAAAACCTATAGTAAAATCAAGCAAAAGTGAGCAGTGTCGGTGAATCGATAGTCCTCCCTGCTGGACAATTGCTTTTGCACAACATGTTGCTTTCAGTCTCCTGGTGTACCACTGAGAATGTGAATGATCAAGGGATACGAGAGCTAACCCCTCTGATGATGTGCTGCATTCTCTTTACCAATATCTTGAAGATTTTTGCATCTATGTTTGTTAAGAAGATTGGCCTGTAGTTTCCTTTCAGTTATTTCGTTGTCTGGATTTGGGCTCTGAGTGATACTGGCTTCCAGAAATGAGTTTGGAAGCACTGATTCTCTTTCAGTTTCATTTAAGAATTTGAGGAGGATTGGTGATAAAATGTCCTTAAAGATTTTGGAGAATTGAGCAGGTCCTGGACTCTAAATTGGTGGGGTTTTTTTTATTACTACTTCAGTTTCATTGTTTGTTATTGGATTGTTCAAGATTTCTATATCTTTTTGGTTTAGTTTTTAAAATTCATGAGCCTAGGAATTTGTCCATTTCTTCAAGATTTTCTAATTTTTTGAAATACAAATTTTCATAGTTACTACTCTCTTCTGGATTTTGATGATGTCCATTGTGATTTTGCCTTTTGCATTTCTAATAGCATTGATGTGAGTCTTTTCTGTCTTGGGAAGTTTGACTAAGGACTTATATATTTTGTATATTCTTTCAAAGAACCAGATCTTTGATTTGTTGACCCTTTGCATTGTTTTGTTAGTCTTTGGTTTCATTAATTTCTGCTCTACTATTTATAGTTTTCCTCCTTAATTTTGGCCTGGGCTTGGATTGATGTTGTTTCCAAGCATTTAGGGGTTCTTCATTAAGTTATTTGAGTTCATTTTGTTTTTCTAATGTGAGCATTGATTTCAATAAGCTTCCTTCTTTGGACTGCTTTTGTTGTGTCCCATAGGTTCTGGTATGTTGTACTGGCATTGTTGTTTTCTCCAGAAACTGTTTAATTGCTTCCTTGATTTCTTCTAGGACTCATTGTATGTTCAGGTGTGTGGTATGAAATTTCCAGCTGTTTCCAAATTTCTTCTGTGAGTGATTTCTAGTTTCATTGCACAATGTTCTGATAGTAAATAGGGAGTGATTGCAATTATTTTATATTTATTTTAGCAGGCTTTGTAAACCATTTTGAAAAGCCCATGTGCTGCAGAGAAGAATTTGTACTCTGTTGTATTAAGGTAGAACATTGTGGATATTAAGTCCATATTTAAAGGTGTGGTTCAGCTCTGATATTTCTTTATTGATTTTTTTGTTTAGATGATCTGTTTCTTTGCAAAATTGAGGTAATTGAGGTAACCATGATTATGTTAGTATTTATTTGATCTTTTATGTTCAGCAGCATTTGTTTTAATGAAGATAGGTGCTCAGGTATTCAGTGCATATATATTTATAAATGTTCTCTCCTCTTGTTGAATGACTCTCTCATCTTTGTCTCTCCTATTAGATTTTAGCTTGAGGTTTATTTTGAAAGTAAAATTGCTACTCCTGCTTGTTTTAGAGGTCCTGATACATGAAATAACTGTGTTCCATCCTTTTATTTTTAGCCTGTAGATATTTTTGGCATCAGGTGAGTTTCCTGAATGTAACAGTGATGGGTTCTGTTTTTTGATACAGTCTTCTAATCTTCATCTTTTAGTTGGGGGAGTTAAGGCCATTAATCTTGAGAAGTATTACTGAGAGGTGTAGATTATTTCCTGTCATTGCATACTTCCTCTGTTGGTGACTCCTTTTGCTTTTTCTTTCTTTCTTTTTTTTCTTTAATCTACTCACCTTGTTTGATGTATTCATTCCATCTGGATTTTCAGCTTTGTTGGCTTTGTTACATCTGTCTATATTCTTGAGTACTTTCTGGAGCACTGATTTGGAATTCATACATCTCTTGAGTTGTTCTTTTTCATGGAATGTCCTTTTGTCTATTTTGAAGGAAAGTTTTGCTAGATTTGTTCTTCTGCATGGGAAATTGATTGCTTGTAGGGCTTTGAATCCTTAACTCCAAACTCTTCTGGTCTTTAAAGTTTGTTGCAAAATCTGCTGTAATTCTAATGAGTTAACTTTATGTGATTTTTTTGCTTTTCTCTGATAGCTTTCAAGATTCTGTCTTTTTGTTGGACATCTGGCACTATAGTTATAATATGTCGTGGGAGCTTCGTTTTTCATTGTAAGTTTGTGTACTATAAGTCTCACTTCCTTGAATGTTGAATTTTTTCCTCATACTTGGTGAAGTTTTCTTCTATAATTTCTGTAAACAAATTATTATTCTATGTGTACTGTCTTCTAGTTTCTAAATCCAATTAGCCTTAGGTTGGTCTTTTTAGTGTCATCTAGCAGGTATTAGACGAATTATTTTTCTGTTCACTTATCTTTTCCAAAGTTTGAGTAATTTGTCATAATTTACCATTTTGTCCTTTATCTCAGAAACCATCTTCCCTTTGGTCATTTCTCCAATTTATGAGTTTCATATACTTTTTATATCTAATATTTATGTCTGAGATGATTTTTCTTGGACTGCATATCTTTGGTAAATTTGTCACTCATGTTTTGAACCATTGTAGTCAGATCTTCCAATATTTCATCTGTTTCCCCCAGATTCCCACTGGTCATTTTGAGTGATAATTCCATAAACTTTTGGGACATGTCTTCTTTGAACTTGCCCAGTTACTTAACTCTTCTTTAATCAGTTTGTAAAACTCTGCTTTCCTTTCCAAGGGTGCCCCCAGGATATGCCTTGGGGGAGTTGAGAAAACTTGGGGGTCTTTTTTGCCTTGTTTTCCCATGTTCCTGTGTATATGGTTATCTTACCCTCTCCCTCTTTTTTCCCGTTTTTGGTGCCTCGAGTTGAGGTCAAGTAGGGTGAGGAGAGCTTGTAATTGATATGATCTTTTTAGTGAAATACTGACTTCCTGTGACATGTTTTCAGCTTTATTTTTCCAAGATAGTATACACCCCATCAGCTACTTAAGACTCTGTCCCTGTGTCTTGAGAAAACAATTACTTGTGTTTATAAGAGCATCATCGGATGCAATGATCCTTCACTTCTGTGTGATAGATTTTACATTTATATTTTCACCCTTGTCAGTGGTCTTTGCAGCCTGCATTCAGTGTGGAAGGAGAAGTGGAGGGGAGAGATTGAGGGATGGATAAAAAAGTCAGTAGGGGGAGAGGGAGAGAGGCAGAATAGTACTAGGAAACAATTAGAGAACAATTTTTAAAAATTAGGTAAGAAGTCAAATTCTGTTAGAGGTCATTTAGTTGGGCTGAAGGGCTGATGTTGAAGGTTTTTAAAAGATATTTGCAGAGGTGAGGGTCGGATGTAGCAGCGGGGAGGTATACCTTGGGATTGAGGAAAGCTTTGAGGTTATCACAATCTCTGGATATATTTGTGTATGTATGAAGTGGAAAAGAGGCAAGGAATGACCGGACTAGGAAAGATAAGGAACAACAAAGGAATAAAGAAGCAAACAGCTACTGCGAGAGGAGACAGGAGCGACTGGGCAAGAACAGGGCAAACTAAGAACTTGAGAGGAAGAATTTAAAATTTGGGAGAGACAATAAAAAATACGAAAATAGCATTGCTATGGAAACTTGAGTTAAAGAAATTAGAGAGACTAATGAGAAGAGAAAACAAACACTACTAAATTGAAGCAAATGTATACATACATCCTACAAATAGATAGATAGATATCAAACACTGCAACAAGAGAACGTACATGTGATTCACGGGACCACTTTGCCAGAAAGTCTGAGTGTTCACAGTTCCCTTCTTTACCTGCTGTGGTCAGATTACAGGCAGCCATACTATATTCACCTCTTTTCTCTTACACTCAAAGCCAAAACAAATATACCCTCAAGAATCCTCCCCTCAGCTCAGAGGGGTTTTCCCTGGCTCAGCATAGGAATCTTCCTGTACTCAAGGCACAATGCTGAGGTCTGCAGGCAGGTAGACTTCCTTGGAACTGGGGTGTACTGTGCTCCAGTGGGTTGCTTGGGAGTCTGAGAACATGTCTGTGTGCCCCCGGGGCGTCAACAGAAGATGCCAATACAACTGCTTGCAGGTGTGCAGCTGTGGGAATGGGCGGGTGTTTCACAGAAGTGTGTGCCTGGGAAGCCACAGGTCCTGCTCACCTGTTCATTCCCGCTCTGCCCAGGGTGAAGGGTTCCCTCATCCTCAGTGAGCACTGGTGAGGATGCTGCCAGGCTGCAGCAGCCACAGTGCTTGGTGAAAGGGGGATGGTGTGGAGAGTCTGACCGGCGTCCAGCCTCTGCATTGTTCCTCCCTGTGTTCATTCCCTGGGATATTAGGGTGCTCTCATAATGGTTCTCTCCAGAGGGCTTGAGTGGTTTGTAGCTGTAGCTATGGCTGGCTCTGCTTACCCTCTTCAGTGACCCAGGTGTCAAGCTTTGATTTACATGTTGCATCTTTTCAACTAACATTCTGATTAATGTGAAGATCCTGCCCACCACCCTCCTGTCGTGAGCTTGGGTACATTCTTTGAGAAAATCTATATAAACTAAAATTAAACTTAAATGAATATTATTTGAAGAGGACTATTGAATTTACAAATGTACATAAAATTTTTAAGCTGTTTTAAAGTAATTATATAAAAATGAAAAATCATTTTTAAAAAACCCCTAGAGTATAGCAGAAAATTAAGTCTAACAAAGTCCCAGAATAGTAGAAATTACACAGAAATAAAAGACTGTGTAAAACTCAATCTTTATACTCTTTTATGTAAACTTTATGAAGAAAGTTTAGCCAGGCATAGTGATCCATGCTTGTAACCCTAGCACTTGGGAGGCTGGGATGGGAGAATTGTGGGTTCAAGTCCAGCCTGGGCTACGGAGAGAGTTCCATGCTCACATAACCTTTGTAATAACTGAGATTCTTATCTCAAAAAAAAAAAAGGAAAAACAAAAGAGAAAAGAAAGGAGAGAGAGAAAGAAGAGGAGAAAGTTTAACCTTAATAAAGCTTAACTTGTTAAGAAATTCCTGACATTTCTGCAAGTGATGGCCCAACATGGTAAACATGGCCCATGCCTCTGTCTTGGGTCTTCCAGAATAGACTAGTTGACACTGGGATTGAAAGATGGATTGAGTTCAATTCCTTGTATTGGCTGAAACTTTTTCTCCAAGAATTTGTATGAGAGTAACTGTTTCAAGAAAAGGAGTCAGGGCCAGGGATTTAGCTGAGTGGTTCCACCACCTACCTCGCAAGCGCAAGGTCCTGCATTCGATCCCCAGTACTAAAAAAAAGAAAAAAGAAAAGGACCCAATTCCTAGCTTTGCAAATGACCATTTGCCCAGCATAAAAATCTTCAAGTTGTATGCAGAAATGGACTCTTTGACTCTGTACAGCAGATCCTTGGTCTTCATTTGATCCACCACAAATATCTTCTAATGTGAAGAGCTTCTATGATCTGAAGCTAAGCTCTTACTATTTTTTTTCTCAGGATTACACGTCTTGGCAACATTTGAAAAAGTCCCATTTGAGAAAGCTTTCAGGAGGCCAAATGCTGACTTCACAACCACCAACTTCACGACCCACTATTGGAATGCAGTCAGCCACCGGGTCCCTGCCATCATCTATGACTGCTATCTGCGGCTCACCGGGAGGAAGCCCAGGTGAGGAGCCGGGTCACTGTCTCTGAGAGTGTCGCTGTACAGGGAGACTGGGGCCTCAAAGTCTGTATTCTTCCCTTTTTCTGAGAATCACAGGATACAACAGAATGTCACACACACATACACACACACACACACACACACACACACACACACAGATTTGGGACAAAAAACAGTAGAAGCAGCCAGGTGTGAAGATGCACACCTATAATCCTAAAACTGTGGGAGACTGAGACAAGAGAACTGCAAGTTCAAGCCCAGCCTGGGCAATTTAGCAATTTAGTAAGACCCTGCCTCAAGATAAGTAAATAAGATGACGAGGAGGAGGATGGTGATGACAATGATGATGATGATGATGGTGGTGGTGGTGGTGAGGTAGCTCAGTATGAAGACTCTGGGCTCAACCCCAAGTACTGGGCAGGTAAGAAGCCTCGCAAGCACAAGGTCCCAAGTTTGACCCCTGATACAAAAAAATACAGAAAATCCTCCAACATAATTTTTAAAAATAACATTAAGGAACTTTGCTGATACATTCAGCAAATAATCATCCATTCAAAAAGAAAAGAAAGTAAGACCCTGTCACTGGGGTTTTGCAAAAACTTCATCTAACTAGAATCATGACAGCTCTTTCGAGAGCTCTGAGAGCTCTTCCTGGGGGAAAGGACTCTCATGGTCCTGCTGTCATTCCCACACTCCTTATCATCACAGGAGCGAGGGGAAGAGTTTGGATTAGTCCAAGGATGTGGCAGAGGAAGGATATGGAGAAAGCACTCTCAAAGTCAGTGTCAGGAACTGGACTTACTGCACCTAGGGATGCATGAAGAGGGACAGACCATGCTGGTGTGAAGGCACAGGACACATCCCTTCATCTGTCTCACCCGAACTGGATTTTGTGTGTCAGAGGGGTCGTTATTATAATTCCAAAGGCAGTTATGTCAAGAACAATTACCAAAGGCAATTATGTGGTCAAGGATCAGACCGTGGCTTCTGTACTAGCCCTTTTATAGGGAAGGACATCTTTCTCAGCGTGGCTAATTTTCATCTTTGTTAGCAGAACAGATAATTGAAATTTAGGTACTGCACTATCGAGGCCTCATTTAGAGCTGAGAACTCAGCTCTTCTTGGGCAGGTTATAAGTGGTAGGGGAAATATTTGGGGCTTTCAGCATAGGTCCAAGAAGGCCTGGATAAAGAGTCAAGTTCAGTAAGGAATGAAAAACACAGGAGGGAGAGAGAACAAAAGCATGTCCGTATTTTGTTTGTGAGAAATGTATGTTCGTGAGCAATTAAATTTTACTGGGAATGGGTTATTCTGTAATATGAATTTTAATAATAATCTTAGAAGCAAAATCCTTCTAAGCCCCTTCCCCTTCCAGTATGGTTGTATGGAATCTTCTACGCCTTTACATCCATATATGGACCTTTGCTTGTCATCAGGTAGAGGTGTAGGTGTTGCACAGAAATCAATCATGCATGCATGGTCTTCAATTTTTCACCAATTAGACTTATAGGATTTAATTCTTGGTTTTACCAGTTCAGCCATGTGATTCCTAAAATTTTCCCATCATTCTAAATTCCAACCTCCTCTTCTGTAGAAATAAAATAGGAATCTTACATCTATTTTACAGAGATTTTCATAAAATGCTTTGACTATATAATCAGTATTGTTACTAAAGAAGTTATTAATTGTTGTGGTAAAATGAAATCACTCTTCCTTTAGAGTTTTTCCTGAACATAATTTTTTTCTAAAACAAAATACAATAAGGCTGATATAACCCCCTATATATAATGATAATGCTGTATAAGCATTACTTTAAAAAATTAAAATAAATCTGTTGAAATCACATCGATTGCACCAGAGTTGGAGCATGAATGAAAATTGAGATAATAGTTGCAAGCTCTATTTTGGTACTTGTATCAAAGAAATTTCTGATGACACAATGGGAGAAATATCTCGAGTCACTAGGTGCAAGGACATTAGAATTTAACCAGAAATAAGTCCAAATCTCCAGAACAGCTTCATCAGCCATTACTAAGCTGGCTGTCATAATCACTGCTGCCAAGCTTGGCTTAGTGAGGATAAAGATCAAATGTTCCTGATAGTCCAAAGGTGACCTGTAGCTAAGAGAACTAGCCTGGAACACTAGTTATGTGACCTCGAACATAATCTTTCTGTAAAGTAGGCATACATAAGTCCTGAGTACCTCACAGTTACATTGTGTAGAACCAATTAGAACATATATGATAGTTTTTTATGTTGTTATGAACTTGGGAGGTTCACACAGAACAGCTAGTTCAAGTTCTGATCCCTGGATTGGAAGATGTGGTTCCTTGAAAGTAATGGGACACAAGGTAGTAAGATTATGCAAGCCTTTGCTCCATAAGAGAGGGGAAAGGATGGGGTAAAAACGAAGCAAGATATATCATGTACAGTACAAATTTCCTCTGAGGAATGTTATCATTACGTATATCTAAAATGTACTGATAAATATTTTTCTAAAAAAATAAAATACAAATACCACATTAAAAAAAACACAAAAACCCGGGTTGGAATTTTAGCTGGAATACATCTTTAAGCTTATGTTAGTCATTTGTAAATATGGAGATAAATACCTACCAAGGAGGATGTTAGGAAGATTAGCAGATAATATTTTTAGGAGTATCAGCACTGTACCTAATAAAGTTATCAACAGTAAATTCTTTTCTCCTGAAATCTGCATTACAATTAACAGTTGTTGTTGTTCACCAGACACCAGGATAGTGAACACTTTTGCCGAATTATGTACTACAATCTTAGATTCTACTCATTAAAAAAAAAAAAATCCAAGAACATACAATAAAGAGAAACAAGCTTTCCAATTGTCTGCCTCAAAATTCAATAAATGAACAGTAAAGTCATTGAAGGTGAATGGTTAGCTGTTGTAAAGTGAGTTTGCCACTCCTGAAAAGACGTGGTAGGAAAGAGGAGGGAGCATCTGGTGGTATTAAAATGCCTGGTAGAATAAGGCGCTGTTAAGAGTCCTCTCTCCTCCTTCATGTAGAGAAGGTTATGGAGCAAGGAGAAAAAGGAGAGTGTGAATGAAGAATCAGGAGAAACAAGGGGCAGATTTCCTTAAAAAGAATTTGTCATTGTCTTTATACACGGACAGGGGAGAGGCCCTGGGTAGTGCATGGCTCGCTGCTCCTATCTGATCTCTGCCGCAGGGTGCTGAAGCTCATGAACCGCCTTCTCAGAAACATCTCCATGCTGGAGTACTTCATCAACCGGAGCTGGGAGTGGAGCACACACAACACGGAAATGCTGATGTCGGTGCTCAGTCCTGAAGACCAGAGAGTGAGTGCAGCCGGGCTGCCACACAGGAAGCCACACTCGTCCCGAATTTAGTTACTTGACCCGTCAGGGGAATAAAGGAGGTTTTGGTCCTAGAGGCAGGTGTATCTTTATCATATTTTTGCTAAGAAAATCCGGCAGGGCGATCAATACAACCACAGGAAACGAGTTCAACGAAGGTGAGAACCTTAGGTTTCTGGACTCCGGGTCAGTGTGCACCACTGCTCTGTGGTAGGCAGTGTTACCTTCCCAACAAGCCCCTCCACACAGGCTCTCCTCCCGAGGGCGAGGGCGGCTTCGGTGGGTGGAAGCGCGTCTCGTTGCTCGCCCTACCCCGGGGCTCCATTCTCTTCCAGCCAGTGCTGTGTGAGAGGTCACCCCGCCTTCCCTCCCAGGCAGGTCTCCTACACTGCTTCAGTACTTCACTTGGTTTCTCAACATAGACCATCACTTTGTTTGGTTTTAGCACTATTTACTTCTTTAGCTTCTGGGCAGTCACAGAGGTTAAATCCTAAACTCTTTGCATATTCTGAAATTCACAAATATAGAGGATTTTTTTATGATTTTGTACAGGTTCCTGTTTTATCTCCCCTCAGTTACAAGTCTTGCGTTCCCTGCACCTGTCCTTATGCCATTACTACAATTTTCAATTTACTCTGAACTGACATTTTCCAGTAAGAAACGATTATTTTCAATATTTATTTTGTACCTGATGACTTTTTTTTTTTTTTTTTTTTTT